AAGGCCAACAGATAGTTGCTTCAGTTCTAGTTCAGAGATGGTAAGTTACTTTTCTTTTTGCTTATTAATTTATGTTCTGCTTATTTGGAATTACTTGTATTTCTCACACTTTTCCTTTACATTTTGAGAAAAATAATTATCAGTAAGTGGTGAAAATAAATATAAAGAAAAAAATTAAAAATATTTAAAATGTAAGAAACTTATAAACAGAAATGTGTAATTGAAATGTTAGTATCATTCATTAACATTTATTAAAATGATGTGTTCATTGTTACTTACAAAAGCTACCCTTATCAAGATGTATATGTGTATATGTTGAAGTTGTATGCTTTTTAAAATTTCCACTCACAATAATTGAAAAACTGAAGCATCTAAGAATATTTAGAAAAAGTCTGAAGACTTATATGAAGAAAACTATAAAAAGTTGAGTAATGTAATCTGAACAATTGGAGTGACAGTTATGTCCTGAGTAGGAGAGCTGCATTTCTCATAAATCACATGTTTCAGTGGAATTCTTCTTCATTGAATCTTCCATCTTTTTTCTTTTTTTTTTTTTTTTTTTGTCTCTGGATCACCATCCAAACTGCTTTTGCTAAGGAAAAAACACCTGTGACCTCTATGTTGCCAAATTCATTGGTCACTTTTCAGTGTTTATGAGAACTAATAATACTGGAAAAAGTGATTTTTTTTTTTTTGAAACATTTTCTTCTTTTTGCTTTTGTGATAGCACTGTATCTTTGTTTCCTTCATACCTCTTTGAATTCAGCTTTATGCCTTTGCTGACTGTCTTCTACCCTTCCCCCTATATAAATGTTATAATGTTTAGGGTTTGCTATAGGACTCTTTCTTCTCTTAGATTACACTTTAAACTCTAGGTGATGTTCTTTTTTTTTTTTTTAAAGTTTTTGTTTATTTATTTGACAGAGAGAGAATGCTAGCAAGAGAGAGAACATGAGCAGGAGGGTGAGAGAGGGAGAAGGAGGCTTCCTGCAGAGCAGGGAGCTCAGTGTGGGGCTTGATCCCAGGACCCTGTGATCATGACATGAGCCGAGGGCAATCGCTGAACAACTGAGCCACATAGGTGTCCTTCTAGGTGATGTTCTATATCCCATTGACATATGCTGTCTTGACTCAAGACCGTTTTCAACTTTATCACTTTAGCCCGGATCCTTATTGATATGTCTCAGTTGATAGATCTTCTTGGATATTTCACAAAAATCTCCTTTTCTTTATATATTAAACTCCCTGGTCTTTGCCCCAGATCAGTGTTTCTGGTAATTCCTGTATGAATAGATACCTTTTCATCCACTCAGTTACTCGTGCCAGAAATTTAGTTAACTTTGCCATTTCTTCCTGGCTTCTCAGTTTTCTTAACCACATTCATTCTGTCTTTTCATCCAATCAGTTTTACTTCCAGAATAAATTGCTTCTCTCAGCTTCTGCTGTCAGCACACTAAAGTACTGATTTATTGTTCTTGCACTATTGTGGTTATCTCCTGGGAGATATCTCTACTTCCACTCTTGACCCACTTTTTTTTGTCAGCAGTCAACATGATCTTTTGAAAACCTAAATTGAATCATGTTATTTCTGTGTTCAACTATTCAGTAATTTATATTTTACCTTGGAATCTTAACTACTTACGTGGCTAAAGCCATGTGTAATCTGGCCTCTGGCTACATCTCCAACTTCTGCTAGTCTCCCTTTAACAGCACAGTCCACATGTACTGACATTTCACTTTGCTTAGCTTACTGGTCTCTTTTCTATTTCAGGGCCTTTATATATTGTTTCCTCTACCTTACTCTTATTCATCCTTTAAGTCTCAGTTCAAATATGTGACTTCTAAAACCCATTCTTTGGCTCCTCCTAATTTAGGTCCTTTATGGGGCGTCTGGGTGGTTCAGTTGGTTAAGCGTCTGCCTTCAGCTCAGGTCATGATCTCTGGGTCCTGGGATTGAGTCCCACATTGGGCTCCCTGATCAGCATGGAGTCTACCTCTCTGCCTCTCACCCTGTTGCTGTCTCTCTCTCTCAAATAAATTAAGAAAAAAATAGTTTCCTTAGATATGCTTTCAAAGTGCCTCATACTTGTTCTTTAAGATGCTTTTCTCAATTTGTAATTACATATACATGTATATGATTATTTGGTTACTATCATTTCCACCTATGAGAATGTGTGCTTTAATGGGGCAGCAACCATGTCTGCTTCACTCACATTGCAGATGCTAAAGGAATATTTTCTTGAATAAATGTATTGAGTGTGTTTTTTATTTTTTTTTTTCAATGTGTGCCCAGCAAGTCTGAAGGCTATTTCTTGGGCTTACTTTTTCTATTTTAGTGCTAGTCCACTGAGGCTATATCTCATTTTAGGGTATTTATGTTAACTCTTTTTTTTTAAAAAGCTGGAATAATCAGTACTTTAGATAAAATTTTTCTTAAAATATTTTGGTTAGTTCAGTAATTAAAAGATACATTTTTCATGAAGTTGAAACATTCAAGCTAGCAAACTGAAATCTATGCCTATTAAAAGTTTTAAAACTGACTTTTTAGATAACAGTTGAGATATTTATTCTTTTTTTTTAAATCTATCTTTCTTTCTTTCTTTCTTTCTCTCTCTCTCTCTCTTTCTTTCTTCTTCTTTTTTTTTTTTTTTTTTAAAGTAGGCCCAGCACAGGGCTTGAACTCACAACCTTGAGATCAAGACCTGAGCTGAGATCAAGAGTCAGATGCTTAACAGACTGGGCCGCCCAGGCACCCTGAGCTATTTGTTCTTATTTAACTTTTCTTTTGTCTGCTTGATTTCCTGTTAGCTTATACTCTTCTTTAATTATACCTTTCATGAGACTGGGCCTATAAAAGATACAATTTAGATGTTTTTTGACCTAACAAGTCAGTGAGTGAATAATGTGTTTTTTTAATTCCTTTGTAAAAGGGAAGGGGGATGATGTAGAGACAAAATAGGGACTGATAAGAGACAAAAATTTATGAGGGACTGATAAGAGACAAAAATTTTTCTTTTTTAGTTCTTTTGCATTTTTAAGATTTTTTTTTTATTTAACAGAGAGAGAATGAGCGCTCATGCAGGAGTGCACAAGCAGGGAGAGCTGTAGAGGGAGAGGGAGAAGCAGGCTCCCTACTGAGTAGGAAGTCTTATGTTGGGCTGGGATCATGATCTGAGCTGAAGACAGAAACTTAACAGCCTGTGTCATCTGGGCACCCCTCTTTAGCATTTTTAATACAAGAATTATTATTATTGTTCTTGCTATTTTAAAAGTCCATAAACCTCCTGAGGAGTGATATATTATTATTATTTTTCAAAATTTTAATTCCAGTGTAACTAACATAGTTTTATTAGTTTCAGGTGTACAATATAGTGATTCAACAATTCTATACATTACTCAGTGCTCATCATGATAATTGTACTCTTAATCCCTTTCACAAATTTTACCCATTTCCTCATTTCCTCAACCCACCTCCCCTCTATAGTTAAGAGTCTGTTTTTTGGTTTGTTTCTTTTTTCTTTGTTCATTTGTTTTGTTTCTTAAATTCCACATATGAGTGAAATCATATGGTATTTGTCTTTTTCTGACCGATTTCTTTCATTTAGCATTATAGTCTCTAGATCCATCCATGTTGTTGTAAATGGGAAGGTTTGATTCTTCTTTATGGCTAATATTCCATTATGTATATATGTATATGTATATATCAAATCATCTTTATCCATTCATCTGTCCATGGAGACTTGGACTGCTTCCATAATTTGGCAGTTGTAAATAATGCTGCAGTAAACATAGGGGTGCACATAACTTTTTGAATTAGTGTTTTTGTATTCTTTGGTTAAATGCCCAGTAGTGGAACTACTGGATCATATGGTAGTTCTATTTTTAACTTTTTTTGAGGCATCTCCAGAGGCAGATGACTGTTTGAAGACTGGTTGCTGGTATAACACTTTTGAATTGCAACCTGCCAAGTATCTTCTGTATTTTGAAATTTTCTATAGTATGAATTTTGAGAATGCCATGAAGTGATTGAATGATTTTTGTAAATTTAAGCAAAAATTTACAGCAAAATTACTGAATTTCTTTTAGCCATCTGAAGATGAAGATCAAATATTGCAAGAAATAGAAGAGTCAAATAGGAGATCCATCAGAATCAAAGAAACAACTAATAATTTTTATCTAGAAAGGATGCCGAAACTTCCATGTGGTAGGATTATTAAGAACAGTGCCAAAATTCATAAACAAAATGAAAATCTTCACCAGTTCTCAATGAAAAATAATACAGATCAGTTTCCACTGTCTCAGTGTAATTCAGCACACATATTACAGAAGAAAACTAGTAATAACTGCATTCTACACGTTGCAAGGTGTGATGCATGGGTACAAACAGACAGTGAACCTGTAATGGAAGAAAAATTAGATGCTGCCGTACAGTGTGATATAATTTCAAAATGTAAATGTAGAAATAATCTGGTCTCCTTGTAATATTGAAAAGTGCAGTGAAAGTATTAAGGCAGATACCACTGGAGGGCAGGAAATCCTTAAGAACAACTAATATTCTAAAATCTCAGCTTAAAATTTAGCATTTCATTTAATGTTCAGAATTTCATGAACATAACAAGGAATGAGAATATGTAGATAAGCACAAGGTGAAAATATTTGAAGGATATATTTATGGCTTGTTTTAAAATACTTAAATATTAATGTATACATTTAATTTTACATAGATTTTTTAACATCTACATAGATATATCTTCAAGATATGCATAGTATATCTTCAAGTTTTTAGAAAATAATATATATGTACATTTACTATTTATAATTCTCATGGTGATTGTTATGATATGATGCTGTTTATGGATAAAAGTATGTTTAATTGCTTCCTTCAGCTTTTTCTTTATCTTAAAATTCAGTGCAGCTACGTCCATTACCAAAAATTTTCTCCCAAGATTTTAAGACAGAAAATAATGCTAAATAATAGCAAACATATTTTATAATCTCATAAGAATTTTGTTAGCTACTTATATTATGAATTTGCATGTCTTCTTGTTGCAGGGGCCATGCTAATCTTTGTATTGTTCCAGTTTTAATATGCTTCCAAAGTGAGCACTGTTAGCCACTATATTAAATATTATACCCTCATTTTAAAAAAATTCTGGCATTTTTAGTTAAAGTATATTTTCTATTGTGTTTGAATAATGTTTTTTATTGGAGCTTATATTCAAAGGAAAGTGTTTTTGTCTTCAAGATATAAAAAATATTTCAATGCTTTTGTAAGAGATTTGTTCAATATTGGGAAAATGATTTATATTCACTAATTTTAATCTTGCTAAGATTCTTTTCAAAATTATTAGATTTGTTCATTTATAAAATACAGGCTTCATTTCCTACATAACATTTATTTTTTTGTTTCAGGATTTTAAATGTTCATACTCTGGAATTGACCATTTGTATGGAATATTATAAACTACACAGCAAAAGGCATTCTGATACCTAATTGAACCAAAAAATAGAGTTGGTAGGAGTTTCTGTGCTTTTAAAGAAAAGGATGATGAGTTATTGCATTGTCACATGCACACATATCTATTCAATAGTTTGTGCTGCAGGGGTGACCTGAAGCATAATGATTTAAAAACACCAACAGCTGATATTTAAATGATACCAATCTTAAGTTTTTAAGCTAGTTTTAGGAAGTTACTTTTGCAGACTCAGAAAGCTCAAAGACCTCCTAAGTATTTTCTTAAAGTATAGTAATCATCTCATGAAAGGGGAATAAATTATCCATTGTACATTGATAGTTGTTCAAAAGGCTCAGTTTTCATTGTGATATTAAACAAAAAGTATTCTGTCATGGGTTGATTATCTTGAGCATTATTGTGCAAAGTATGACATAGCAATGAAGATCAATATATAGAAAAAGAGGACCCTTTACTGGTGATACTAGAAAGATCAAGCTGTGAATTTTAGGTTGGTTTCAAATATCAAATAAATGGAGTTTTTTTCCAAATACTAATCAAAGTCTACTAGTACTGAAAGCACATTCATTACAGAAATCTAAATGTAGTTATATTTTTATCAATATCATAATGTGGAAATTAAGCTCAGTAAGGTTAAAGGAATGTGAGGACTTTCTAAAACAGCGACCACATAGGATAAAGTGCAGTGTAGTAAAGAATGTAAACTTGCCCCAAAAGAGATCTGCCCTGTGCCCTTGGCTTTTGGGATATAATCTCTAAGTGCTTGGAGTGTCGTTCATGCCTGATAGAAATCTTTGTTAGCCTGGGGACTTTGGGCCAAGTTAAAAAGTAACAGTGTGATTTAGAATGAGACTTGGGGTCAGGCTGTATCAGCTCAACTTCTTAAGGCTTTTAGAAACTGAGGTGAGCATGTGGAAAGTTAGCCGTGTCACTGTGATGGAGTCCCAGTAAAGACTGTAGACACTAAAGTTTGGTTGAGCCTCCCTGGTTGACAGTATTCTGTGTGTTGTCACACGTTAATACCAGGAAGGTTTGTGACTCCATAGAAGAGGACTTCTGGATGGTCTGCATTTATCACTTTCCTAGAGTGTATTTCTTCCCTAGGCTGATTTTAATCTGTATTCTCTTCCTGTAATAAACTGTAACTGTGAGTATAACAGCTTTCAATGAGTTCTGAGTCCTTATAAAGCAAATTACTAAATTTGAGGGTGCTCCTGAAATCCCTGAAATAAGTGTAGTTTTGTGGACTGTTCCCTAACTTTGCAGTTGCTAACTATTTAGGTGTTTTAAGAAGATAAAAATATTGGAAAGGAAAGTGAGTACAGATTTACAAAACCAAAAAGACATCTCTTACATAGTAGAATAGATTGTAGCATACTTCTTAAAATATAATATTGTTTAGGTTTTCCTTTGGTGAAACCATTTAATGAAAAAAAAAAAAACTGAAGTTAAACACTTTTCTTTCCATATTCACAATTTAAGATGTATAAAACAAAGTAAATTCTAGCTGAGGTTTATCCAAATGAAACAAAATTGGAAGCTTAAATGATTATGCACACATTTGTCATGTAAACTACCAATCACAGTGCCTGCAAATAAGATAATGTACAGTCAGTAATGGCTGATGCATATGATAACTGATCTGGAGTTGATATTTAATGGATTTGTGAAACAGTGCTTTATTTTGGTTAGAATTACTCTAATAGGTTGCCATTTGTAATAGCAGGAAGTTATCTTTAGGGATAGTCTCATGTAATTTTCTTTTATAGCACTTAGCCATAGTTGTAATTTATTTGTGATTTTCTTAGTAAATGTTTATTTTCCCCATGACACCAGATATAGCAGTGAGGCAGATGCTGTTCTTGCTCTGCTCACATTTCCTTGGCACTTTCCATTTCAATACATGCCAACCTGATTTCCAACTGACAGCATTTGTGACTTACTTCCTGAGAGGTTTCTCTTGGCTGCAGACATGTGCTCTATGTGAGGCAGGCAGGAAGTACCAGGGAATTAATGCTGTTTGAGAGAAGTCTTTTAAAACAATGACTGATGGGGGGTGGGATGCTTGAGTGGCTCAGTCGGTTAAACGGCTGCCTTTGGCTCCGGTCATAATTCCAGGGTCCTGGGATGGAGTCCCACATTGGGCTCCTTGCTCAGTGGGGAGCCTGCTTCTTCCTCTACCTCTGCCTGCTGCTCCCCTGCTTGTGTGCTCTCTCTCTGACAAATAAAATCTGTTAAAAAACCAACAACAATGACTAATGGGAGTTGGTGGGTAAATACTCCAGTTCCCTTGCCTCTTGTGTTTTTTTTTTTTTTTTTAAGATTTTATTTATTTATTTGACAGAGAGAGATCACAAGTAGGCGGAGAGGCAGGCAGAGAGAGAGAGGGAAGCAGGCCCCTACTGAACAGAGAGCCTGATGCGGGACTGGATCCCAGGACTCTGGGATCACAACCTGAGCCGAAGGCAGAGGCTTTAACCCACTGAGCCACCCAGGCGCCCTCTCTTGCCTCTTGTGCACAGTAACTTCCTCAAAGCATTTTCAGTACCATTATGTACCCAAGGTGTGATCCACAGACCTGTAACCTTATTGTTACCATTGCACGGGAATTGATTAGAGGTGCAGATTCTTAGAACCTACCCTAAAACTAGTGAATCAGAATCTCTGGGAGTGGGGACCAAGAACATATGCTTAAATGGGTGATATTTATGCCCTTTAAAGTTGGAGAAACACTATTCTTCTGGAGTCCTTGAAAGGGTTAAGTTGATTACAATAGTAACTTGCTTGATAATAAACCATTTATGAGCTTCCTTCCTTTCCTGTTTCACTTCCCTACTTCCTTACTAAGTCTTTCTTGAAATCACACCCCCCAAAAACGAAATGCACTTAAATGTTGCGTTCAGTTTTGTCTTATAGTTTGCTTCTGGGAGAATCCATATTGATAAGGACCATGACAAATTGATGCATGAATTCTCTTTTTTGATTCAGATTCTGACATTGCTACTTTTTCTAATTTTACAGTTCTCTAGTTTAAGTTTTCCATCCATTTCTGCCACATGCTGAAAACTCAGTGCATCTAGCCGCATATTAGACACAAGTGCAGAGAGAATTTTTGAAATGAAGTATACATTATAAAAAGTTGTCCAGAATGCACAAGAGAAAGAAATAGGAAGTATGAATGAAACAATAGGAGGATAGAATAAGAAGCTCCAACATCTACTTAACTGAAGTATTCAACAAGAGAGAGAATGAAATAGAGGAATAATTTAAAGTGATAATGCCTGAGAATTCTCCAGAATTGATCAGTCATATTAATTCACAAATTCAAGAAGTCCAGCAATTTCCAAGTAGGAAAAATAATATGAAATCCATGTATAGACCCAGTATAATAAAAGAGTAGAGCCTCAAAGAATATCTTGAAAGCAGCTGTAGAGGAAAAAGACTACCTTCCTACAAGGACAGCTTCACTGTTAGATGACTTTTTAATAGCATTAATGGAAGACAAAATACAGTGTAATTATACCTTCCAAATCCTGACAGAAAAAAGCTGTCATTTGAGACTTCTGTTTCTTTCCCTATAGCTCCAGCACTGTTTGAAACCAAACTAGCCAGTGCTATCATAAGACACTATTTCTGCAGGATTTGGTGATTTATATTTAAGGCTTTTGTATATATAGATAGTGGTTTCTCTTTGTAGGAAAAGTTCCTGATTATTTTCACTGTTTAGTCTTCAACCCATATTTTTAGTGATTTTTGTATTGTTTCCATTTCTTTAGGCTGCCTTCTTACTGACTTTGTAAGCACTTGAAGTTGTTCAAGCCATAGGAATTTCTTTTGTTTTTTCAGTGTTCTCTCTGATGGTCAGCAGTATATATTCCTTTATGCCTGTTGCTGCACTCTCATTTCTTTTAAAATGCTTCATAATTTCAGACTTCTTTAATACTTAAGGCTTTCCTTTTATATGCAGTGCTTGGCATGTGCATGGGGCCTAATGCAGGCCTTGAACTTACGACCCTGAGGTCAAGACCTGAGCTGAAATCGAGTTGGACATTTAACTGACTGAGCCATCCAGGCACCCAACACTGCCTTTCTTTTTTTTTTTTTTTTTTTTTTTGAATCAGGACACTCAGACTTATTTGAGATGTTGAGTATATATATGTGTGTGTATATGTAAACATACACACACACATGCATATATTTCACACACATGCATATATTTCTTATATATATAATTTCCACAAATGTGAACGAATAGCAAAACATTAAAAATAATACAGTGAAGACATTTGGGAGATGGAGAGAAGAAGTGAGTTGGGGGATATTGGAAGGGGAGACAAACCATGAGAGACAGTGGACTCTGAGAAACTGGAGGGTTTTGGGGTGAGCCTGCTGGTGGGTATTATGGAGGGCACGTATTGAATGGAGCACTGGGTGTGGTGCATAAAGAAAGAATTTTGGAACACTGAAAAAAAATAATATGGTGAATCAAAGTAACTGGCAGATTTTTCAATATGTGTGTGTTCATTCTGTGAATACCTGTGTGGCTCAGTTCAAATGGGTAAAGTTTTGTGCATTCACCTAGAGTTTCTTGTGGATGCAATTGCTTATCAATCTGTGAAATTTATATCATT